CCTTTCTCTTGAATCTCTATCTTTAAAAAAAAAACCGCATCAAAATCCCTTGCGTTGTTTTAATGATTTAAGCATACATAGGGACAGACAGCAGGAAAGCTACTTTGTTTTATACTATTTAGTGAAGAAAAGTATTACAGTTACCTTTTTTTGACATTAAGCTTTGACTATCCAGTGTTGACCTGATATATCAAGTAACTGGTCAAAAAGATAGGATTCGTCTGCTGCCAGCCTTGAAAGTGACATTGAATAGTTTGGACTTTATGCATCAAGCATGATTTCGAATAAAATTAATTCCAATTCTTATCGAAACATTTTGCTCGGTTCGATTAAAAACTTGAATCAACAGATAGTCGTGTAACAAAAGTGACAAAGGTTGGCGTAGGAGGCCTCCTTCTACTGTTTCATGACCGCGTAGCACTCTAGATTATCGCAAATTATTTGCTAATCAATCGCATGCATTACTCATTTGCATTGTTTAATTTTTAAAATAAATTGTACGTGATTTTGATGATAATAATAACAGAGGCAGGCAAAAATATAATTCCTAACATCTTTGACTTTTATTGTTTAAGAGTACAGTTACCTAGTGACCTTCCAGTTCGAGATTTGGGTCAGATTCGGAATCCGAATTAATGGTCAAATAATTACTTTAGAATTGACCACAGGTTCTGTTTTATTGTCGCATTATGTACCCACGCCTATTGTCTTTTAATTAATGAAGGGTGTTAATGTATAACGATACGTATCTCGGAACTGTTGGCGATTTCGCAATCGTATTGAATGCAACTGGGAAGGAGATTTGAAACGCAAAAATGATTCGAACTGAAAACTCACCTTAAACAACGGCAGATACGGTTCAGACGGTTGAATGTCGTTGAACAAAATCTGAAACAAATAAAAAACAATATTAGACATCGCTGTAACTACAATCGGACGAATATTTAAGGTCGATTTTATACATATAAATTTACGGTTTTGACGCAAATCTGTTAACCTTGAATATAATAAAAGTGTTGGCTAGACATTTACGACCACTTAATTTCCTCAAACATTTGTGAATAATACCATACGTATAAATAATTGAAAAATTCATAAATATTTTATTGGGATATTTCTAAACATGAAAANAACTAAAAAACACTTTTAAATTATTACTAAACTTAGGTTATGAATTATTCTATTTATTCACACTACTGTCGATACATCACTATTCAATTCGCTATTTATTTCACTTCTATCACTGTCAATTTATTTCTGGATTCACTTCTGCAAGGGTCAATTTATTTCTTCTTCTATCGGCGATCGTCTCTTCCTTTAAATACTCTTTTATTTACTTTCAGGAACCTTCTGGAAACGTCCGGATAGTTTATTTTTTGATCGCACACAAACACACTCGTGATCGCTACAATACCTCCTATTCTATAACGGCAACTGTATTTTCTCTATACCTCTTTAATGAATACAGTATTTACAAAACATGATAAAATTACTTAACTGCATTTTTTTAGTTCTTCCTTCTGTTAAGAATAATAATAGGCAACAGTTATTTAGTAACATCTGATAAGCGTACAAACGCCACGATTCATTAAAGTTTAATTATAAATTTCGTTATCGCTGTACAATTAGAATATGAAAGGGTACGGACTAATGAAGCTGTAATACTCGCTGTAGATTAAGTACCATAGAGTTAATTAGGATCGTGGGGGGTGTGGCGATACTGTTTTTCCATTACGAGTCGTTTTTCTCTGGAGGAAGTTCATCTTTAACAACACACCTGAAGAAATTCACGCCCACTGTAAGAAGTGTAATCAGCGCGGAGTGTAAGTACACGGGGTACCCATAGTGAGATACCAACCTACCTACCTACCGACCAAACTCCACAAAGAGACCGTTATTATTTTTCATTTTGCACTGGCGGCCGTGACTTAATTGTACGCCATTTACATTTGTATGGTTCAAAACCAGAAGCCGTAATTTGCCGCCAAGATCGCCGGAGCATCGGCGAGATATCGATCAAATTGGATAGGTACCGACCCGCTAAACTGCATTACATGACGTTCAATTGAATTATCTCCAATCGGAAAGCGATTACGGAGTATAATTTTAACATCCAGCTAGTTTTTCCACATTGAAAAACCGACTGCGTCGTATTAAATGAACATTAAAGTTCAATGCTCATCGATATAAGTACGAGGGTATATAAAAGTACAGGCAGATACATAGTTGCGCCTCGTACAACGGGAATTCTCACCTATATCTTCACCACATTCTTACCTTGTTGGGTGACGTAAATGCACATAACTACTACAGTGGATAAGGGAACAATAGGTTCTGCACCTAAAGGGAAATTATTTGATATTTTATCCACATAGGAGACGAAAAATCAGAAGAAATGGCTAATTTTCGGTATCGAGGAAGTCAGATATGTCAGAAAGGTAGGAGTAGTATAAAGCAGAGTAATTTAGAAATTCGAAAAAGGTTATTAAAGGTATACGTTTAGAGCTCGGCGCTGTACGGGTGCGAAACATAGATGGTGGACGCCGCGGAAAATAAAAGGTTAGAAACGTTCGAAATGTGGTGTTACAGGTAAACGATGAGGATATCGTGGCTAGAGAAGGTTAGAAATGAAGAGATATTAGCAAGAATATGAGAACAGAAAGTCAATAAGAAATAGGCGAGATAGGTTGGCAGGACTCCTTATCAGGCATGAAGGGCTACTCATAGACACATTACAAGAGTTAAGAGGAGTAGAAGTAGATCTAGATTAGATTACTGTTCGGAATTAGTTAAGGATATGGGATGTTGTAGTTTTAGAGAAATGAGAAGATTAGCTCAGCATCGGAAAGAGTGGAGGTGCGTGTCCAACCAGTCTTTGGATTGACGACTTCATGGTTATGATGATGAAAAAATGGCATGTAGTGTTAGTACACGTTAGTTATTAAACGAAAAGTATAAGGGCATCTCTGCATCCAGCATCGGATATAGAAGGACCTCTAAAGAAGCTTATCAATCGTGCTAGCGTAACATTAGGAAGCAACTCTAACACACCAAATCAGAACAGCATCAGTTCACCTACTGACAGCGAATGCCTTTAGCAATTTGTAAAAGGGAGATAATTTTCTATAAGTATACCTTTGTACATATACTGGAGACGAGCAAAAACTCAAAAAATCAAAGCCCGAATTAGCAAAAAGTGGTGAACATATTTGCTGAGAATCCACTAATTCAATTTTGGTAAGATAAAGACCAAAACTTATCTGCAAAACCATGAACTAGATTGAAGGCCGAGATCCTGACGGTCAATAATAACAGTTTTTTCAGTAATAGCGATCGTTATTATAATTATAATAATAATATAAGATCAATTTTAACTTGTAGATGATTCTGTGCCCGTATAAAATCGAGACCATGTCGACAACTAATTACGCGAAAATCATGTGCGAACACATTGTTGTTGTTTGCACAACAGTGTAATTGTTACAAAGCGATATACCGTTACTCGTTTGTAGACTGTATTACATCGACTAGGTCGGATGAAATAGCGGTGCCTATGGCTATCGTAATAATCATTACGTCTATAAACTACTGGGAAAGAAATGTGAAAACTCTTTGCTTTTCTTTTCTATGAAAGAACAAGGAATATCACGAAAGTTCAAGGAGTTTGACACTGTGACATGACACTGACAATCAGTCTAAAGAAAACCAAGGAAATTTTTAATCGCACTATTACAGGATTCCTACAAGGATAACCAAAGAAAATTACTTTCATTTTTAAATGTTAATATTTATCGAATGTTGCAAACAAAATCAGAGCGTTTTCATATTATTACCCTACGTAAGCGCCCACTTACCGCTTTTTTATCTGCTTTTTGCTGAAATGTATCACAAATTTCACGTCTCCGTCCTCCAGAAATATCATAGTTATATTTATACGTATATTTTAAAAACCTTTCGGAGAAATAACACAAGTCCCTCGGAAAGAATACGGCGACAACCGGTGAAATTTGCAATTGTAAATAAACACACGCGGATTGCTAGGTGTCCTACTTCTTTTTGTGTTGAGAAACGTGAACTTGTACGTAATATATTCATTACATTAGAATAATTACATTACGTAAATGAAAGGCTGCGAGAAAATCTACTTACTGCATGTATCGGCCGACTATGACACTATTGAAAATGGACACACACACACACACACATCGCTATCCTTTTCTATGTTTAGAAATGATGAGTTAAAATGGTCTTACAATTTTGTTTCTTCCTGTCTTAAGTGATGAACAAAAATGGTTTAGGTCTTGAAGTGTTGGTCTTATTCTTGCAAAAATGCAAGACTAAAACCAAGATCAAGACTGTCTTTATACTAGCAAAACAAAGACTAAGACTGAACGTAGAAAGCCAAGACTAAAACCAAGAGCGAACGAACAAGGCCAAGACTAAAATCAAGACCGAATATGCCTATCCCAGACCAAATACGTAAGACTAAATGACAAACTATTATACAAGTAAAAAAAAAGAAAAAGTAGGGAAAGAGCGAATATAAAGATAGGAGACGAAAAATTAGAAGAAATGGCTGATTTTAGGTATCTAGGAAGTCAGATAAATCAGGAAGGTAAAAGTAGTAGTAGTAGTAGCAGCAGAGGATAGCGTGGGGTCGATTCGCCTTTAATAAAAAGAAGTCACTTCTATGCTCGCGAACGATTAATTGAGAAATTCGGAAAAGGTTATTAAAGGTATATGTTTAGAGCGCGGCGCTGTACAGGTGCGAAACATAGAAGGTGGACGCACGGAAAATAAAAGGTTAGAAGCGTTCGAAATGTGGTGTTACAGGTAAATGATGAGGATATCGTGGATTAAGAAGGTTAGAAATGAAGAGGTATTAAAAAGAGTAATAGAACAGAGGATTCTATTAAAGTCAATAAGAAATAGGCGAGATAGGTTAGTAGGACACCTTCTCAGGCATGAAGATCTCGTCAGACCCATATCAGAGGCAGAAACAGTAGTTAGGAGAGGTAAAGGTAGACCTAGATTAGATTGCTGTTCACAGATAGTTAAGGATATGGGTTGTTCTAGTTTTAGGGAAATGCGAAGATTAGCTCAGGATAGGAATAAGTGGAGGTATGTGTCCAACTGGTCTTAAGACTGACGGCCTCATGATGATGATGATGATAGAATTATAATAATAGTAATAATACTTGGTCTGGATAAGAATCCATGTCCGTATCATCTACCTATAACTACACCTATGCGTCTCCCGGGGGGCACAAATGTACCTATAACTGTAATTTACAGTATAGAATAAGTACTCATTGTCTCACAATTACTAAGCAAATTAAAAACAACAAGTTATCGTCTGTTATGCATGTATCAACAGTGTCGTAAATTTCGGTCACCGTTTAATGTTGCTTAGGTGTCTATTTCAAACCTAAAGATTAATTACTTCCTTAATCTCACCATCATTATGTAACTAATTACTAAATTTATGACAATAAAGGCATTTGAATTTCAAAACGGTCTTAATTGTGCCTATTTTAGTAACAATACAAGGTACAGTGTTGTTTAATGGAAAGGGCTGAGGAGACAACCGGATCTTACACCAAATAATGATCATCTAACAATAGGCCTTTTTTTATTTTAATGCTTACATATTACTTATGAAACCAAACACTTAAATTAAAATGGCTTTTCATTTTCACATTATTCTTAATCTAAAAGCTCCCATGGTATCAAAGACTAACTTTTCAAGAAACCAAGACAGTTCAAATGATGGAAATGGGAGATATTTCTTTACTAATATTTAATACAAAATAGTAGATAAGTACCTAATTCTGAAGCATTAAAATATCAATCATTTATTCATTATCGTATTTACAAAAAGATCAAGT